CTTCTTTAGATTGCCTCAGCCTCAGAAGTGTTGCTTTTGTGTTGTTTTTTTTTCGGGGGGGGGGGGGGCCGGTTTTTTTTTTTTCCCCCTCCTGCCTTCCTCCTCTCTCTTCTCACCCTCCCAAACCCAGCCCCTTTTCCTTGGTCAGCAGAAGGACAAGTTGCTGCCTTTGCTGAACCTGGGTCACAGCCAGCTGGCACCCAGGCTCCTCGCTGAGGGCTCCTGGCCCTGTCCCCACGGAGACTGCACGTTTCACAGCAGGGCCACATGTGCAGCCGTGCTGCAGGGCGCGAGGCTGAAGCGCTGCTCACAGCTCTCCGCTCCAGAAACACTTTCCTCAGTGCCATCCGATGAGATTAAATATAGCTGGGAGAGCAAGCACCAGGCTGTTTTGTCTCTGCAAGTTTTCCCCTCATCGCAGATGATTTCAAGCAGCTGAGGAGTCCTGTAGTAATTACTCTAAGGTCTGCTGCTTTAACAACGTGGCATGTTCTGAAGAGGAGACTCTGGTATCAGAGCCAAAATATACGGAATCCACTTGCTGGTCTGGCTCCCACCGAGATTACAGAGATCAGGCTATGAGAACACTTCGAGCCAGCATGTCTCTGCAGCCTCCACTCCAGGATGTACTGTAAAGGACACGTACTGTGCATGCTTTGGGGGTGGAAACGTGCTTTGCACTCTATTTGTGTGAACAAAGCTGGCAGCTTGGGTGGATATTGTGGAGCAATGAAGCTCTATTGTGTTTGCCAGTCATCACGAGAATCAAATGAACAAATTTAGAAGAAGCAAATTCGGCTGAAGTCCCCTTAGAAGAAAACAGGCAAAGACTAGTCAGGCTTGGTAAAACAGAATACGGGATATTCTTCCTAAAATAATCCATAGTAAGCATTGGAACAGCAAAACAAACTGCCCATTTTGCTGCCCAAACTCAGTCCCTCAGATCACATAGTGAATATAAGCAAGATAGAAAACAGTCTACTTGTGCCTCTCAAATTTTAAAAAAGGACTGAATTCTAAACTTCAAACCACACATACATTACCACCAGGGGAAAAAAATAACTTGTGCACCACAGAAGATGAGTCAGCTCCCAGTAACAAAGATGGAGGAATAACAAAAATATGTAAAAGAAGAGACTCCATTCAAACCAAAAAGACTCCCTGGCAATCCCAAAAAGTAAGTGTTGCATACAGAGCGCTGATAAAGAAAACAGAATGGCTGAAGAATGACCATATCACTAAATGAGAATGGAAAAAAAACAACACACCAAAACAGAGACCCTAAGTAGAAAGGGACAAACCCATCATATTTCAGAACAGCAGTTTTGAAATTCAGTGCCCCCTCTCTCAGTAAGCTGAAATCAGCCCAGACAATGCTCCCATTAGATGATGTTCTGTCTAATTCCTCCAGCTATGAATTCAGAAAGGTGTTAGGGCAAGGATAACAAATATTTCCAAAATGGAACAACTGTCCTGCAACCTGTACTCTCAAATTGCTTACAGTCTCACAATACATGTTATTATGAGGGGGAAAAAGGTGAACTTTGTGTCCCTGAGAAGGCGCTATTCTTTACCAGGTACGGGAAATTGCAACGTTCATCCATCAGAAAGCAGCAGCAGTACTGCTAATTAATGCAAGGAATACTAGGAGCTCTGTGATACAGGACACTTTGTGTAGTTGCCACAGCGGCACAAGCAAAGTTTCCTTTAAGTTTCAAAAGTAAGTGTGGGTGCTGGAGCTTAGACACCCTTCCTACAAAGCCCGATGGGCGGCAGCAGCCCACACAGAACAGCCAGCCACTGCGTACCATCACTTGAAAGGAATACCTACAGTGCTCAGAGATCAAAGCCACAGCAAATGAATCCCAGCCCTACACTAAGGGACCGACCTTCAAAAGCAAAAGGACAGCTTATTTGCCATTTCAAAAGCAAACTGCACTGATGACTTCTGCTTGGGCAAAGGAGGCAGCAGAATATCACGTAAAATGAATAACTGCTCCAAAATATTCAAAACACTATCAGTCCCCATGCCCCCAAGCACGGATAATGGATGAGCCCTCAGGTGGCACTGACTTTAGCAGCTACCTGCTAGGACCTGGCCATGGTTCCTAGTGCTTTTCGCCTCTTTCCCAAGCTAGTTAAATACCTCAACAGAAACACAGTGCTTTGCATATGCTTGATCATCCAAAACTGTCACTGGTTAATTCTTAGAAGTGGATCTTCTCTTAAAAGTGATAGCGTTACCACAAACTATTACAGCCATGAGTAAAATTAGGTTCCATTTGTACTCTCTAAAATATCAAAGGCATAACTAGTAAAGTCTTTTGTTCAAGATCTCTAGAGTCCTTGAGGTAATAAAAATTGGGTCATGGAGTAGTTTCTCTTAAAAGTTTAAAGTCAATGCCATGTTCAAGCAATACCTGCTCTGTGACTCATGGAGGATTCGGTCTGAGAGTGGAAATACTGTACCAACAGACACAGCAGCAGTAATGCTCCTGCCCCCACCAAGAGGAGGAAGGGAGGGGAGAGAGGCATAGTAGATGATTTTGAACAGTTTCCTGTTACAATCTCTTGAAAAAAATCCAGCCGTACTTTCACCCTGCTTTCTGTTTGCTGAAGTTCTCCTGACAGTTGGCTCTTTCGGTTGCCAGAACCACAACAAAGGACGGCCTTGAGTTTCCACACAGGCCATTTTCTCCCTCTCTCGTCTCTGATCATCTCACAAAGGTATTATTGTTGCTGGCTCACTGGGGCTCAGTGCACCTGAGGCAGATCAAAGGCACTTTTTAATGCCCGCCTGACCACACAGGTCTCTCTCCCACTGCATTAAATTAAACTCGATGATTAATCTCTATAGCCCTGAGGGTCCCTTGGTGCACACAGAGAGAGCAAATATATATTTCTATCAAAACACAAGTATAATATACTTTCATTTTATAGCCCTAATTAAAAAAAGGAACAGCTAATTCCAGCCAAATGCAGCTGCATATAGGTCTCATTAAAACACAAATACAACTGCGCTGTGTGCTCGGCATTCACTTCATGTAGTGTACGTTGGTAATAGATAAAATAACAGTAAACAGAAATCTTTCCATAGATTAAATGCAGAGCAGTTTAGAATTTGCCTGCTAAAGATTGCTATACCTCTGATCAGATAAGCGAAGGAAGGTAGTTAAGGAAATGATTATAAAATGCTGAGTAGTTACATCTAAATAAACCCAACACTGCACAAGCATCTAGTTCTGAGTTTGCATTCAAATGATTAAGAGTCTTGAAAGGTTCCATCCTGTCTCTGGTGCACAGCGTATGCACACTTCAGTTTAGCTTTAATGACAGAACAGAACAATGAGTAACACCAACATGGATGTTGCCATGCCACTTCTGTTACATTAGTGCAGCTAACGGGGCCACGTCTCACAGCATCTTGGAGTACGCACACAAAAAGTGCTTTTATTACACTGATATGCTTTCATTCAATTTGTTGTTTTTTTGTTTTTTTTTTTCCCCCCAAACTGCAGTTGTGAACTGAGTTCAGAACCATGTTAGAATTTACCAATACACACATTTTAAAATTTAATAAATAACCATACACATGTCCTCCTCCAGGGTGAGTTACACTAAAGGAATAAGTTACAGCCAGCTGGCTCGTTTCCAGCCCTTCAACATTGCCCTCAGACCTTTTAGGGGAAACTGATTGAGAGGTTCTTAGCTCATTTTAGCCCAGTATTATGTATCTATTAACCCAGCTTATTTTAATGATTTAAACTAACTCAGCTAAATGAAACAGGTTAGGAAGAGTTCACGCAAATGGCTTCTTCTGAAGGACCTTCACCAAATGAACTGCAAACAGTGAAAGTAAGGGCATGCTTGGAAGGGCAACTTCACCCCCAGAGCTGGTGTTTGCAGGGTGCCATCCCAGCACCTTAATAGGTATAGACACCAACGTGATTTTTCAGAGACAAAGTAAGCTAATAGCAGCACGCCAGATATTCAAATCTACAGCTTAGGAATGAAACCAAATATATTCCCCATTGTTTTACAGCATCTAAGCTTTCGTTAAATCTCTGCTTCACAATACTGGGATTATTTTTATCTTTAAATTCAATCGTGCCTAAATGCTTTGCTGCACTACAGTCCATGTGACAAGATCACTTTAATGCATGCTGTTACTACAGAGGCAACTTATAGATTCTGCTAAACCTGATGCTTTATTATCTGCTTCCTTTCTTTTTCTCTACAGGAGATCTCTCTCCATGAAGCATGTTAGACCTCTCTAAATTCAATAGCACTCCCACTGCCATTTGCTCATTTAGTAAAAAAAACAAGTCAATAATCAGTCTAAATTTAAGAGTGAAATGAGTTTTAAATAAAAAATGTGGCAGAAAAGGGTACTTATCTAAATGGAATGCTTTCAGACTCATACATTTTAAAAAGGTATAAATTTCAAAAGCAGACACTAAATTTTAATTGCAATTTCAGAAAAAGCTTTTGTATTAATTCACCGAGAAAAATTAGCGAAGAGAAAATTGCTTATCAAGGTTTTTCTTTCTTTTTAGTCACGATACAGACTGTAATTCCATAGATCATGGCAACTTACAGAGGTAGAATGATTTATATTGATTAAGTGAAGTGGTGGCGGAAAAGGGCTGTGACTGGAGACACGCATTCCTTCTCCAAAGACACTATTCTGTAACACATTAGTGACAGGCTTGTCACAGATAACTCAAGCTCAGAGTCTGGCTCAGATTTCAGCCTGCTCTTTAAGCCACTCTAACATCGTGGTTTCTACTTTTCATGTCATTTTTCACTATTGATTTCTACTACTATTAAAGTCCTTGCTAAATGCATGGTAATATATAATTAATAACCAAAGGTAAAGACAGAGTTAACAGGAAAAAAAAAAAATCAAGGGAAAGGACGAGAGGCACAAAGGTCAGTTTTCCCTCCAAACACATAAGTTACTATATTCTCTACAAATTAGGACTATGCATACAACCTACCCCCATGTGGCATGAAGATGTTCCACAGATCAGAGCAACTCGTGATGTAATTGGCTGGTTTTCACATGGCAGGTTATGTCCTCTCACATCTGCTCCAATTACTCCTATTAAAATAAAATCAAAATGCTATTTTAGTGAAGAGCAAGCCAACCCTCACAAAACAGTGCTTTTTCATGCACAAATAATTGCCAAATATCTCACACCACTACCACAAGTCATAAAATTCTACTTTCTCAATAAACAAAGCTATAAAATAACTCTGATAAAATATTTCTTTTTTATTACAGATGCATGAGGACACAAGATGTTTTCTTGTTCATGTTTATCATCATGATCTTTAAGCGTTGTATCAACTACAACCTGACCTTCATTCCTTTGAGCAGTGTGCTAACATACAGAGAAAAAGACTGCCCTGCTAGGAAAGGCACCACAGCAGGTATGTTTATTTGATGACAGTTTATCACGCACACTGTTTGATGTGTTTTGTCAGGGGATGAGTTGGTAAAAGGGAGAACTTGGCAGCAGACTGGAAGGCTGCCAGCTCTGTTGTATTGGCTGCTGCTGCTGTCTGTGTCAGACAGAACTATCTACAGAACAGATTAGTCCTTCCCTACGAGGAGCCATTCTTGGCTGTAACTTTCTGCGTGAAGCTTCTACATGCAGGATAGCACAGGAAGGAGGACAAATACAGCAAGCGCTCAGCCTGCAGCAGAACTTTATACTGGGAGATGCCAGAGAAGTGCCAGGAACTGCTTACAGAATGGTGCAGATCTGCAGTGAAACTTCACCACGTATCTGATTATGCTTAAATCAGTTAAGGACAGGCTGAAGTGGAAATTTTGCCCTTCCTTCTCTTCTTAAGTTGTATTCTTGCTTGCATGGCATTGCAACAACATAGCAAACCATGTTTTCTTGACCATTATTTTTTAATAGATAATATGCAGTCTAGAGACTGGTTTGGCAATCCTACCACATAAATAATAATATTTCTCTTTCTAGAAGGATAGCAAAAACATGTGATGGATATTTTATATTTTCAAAACCATAGATTTTACGAAGTGAAAGGTGCCAAGTGTTGTGGTTAGTATGCTACATTTGCTTAACACTTTCTTGTTTAGGTCACAACTGCAAGATTCTGTTATCAATCTGTCTGCTGGGTTTTCTCTTATCATGGTTGCCATGGTTATCACAGAATTATGGTTGAAAGTTACTTAAATAATCAGAAAATCAAGGGCAAAAAAAAAAATCAGTGTCTTTAAAGATACGTCCTCATATCCCTTCATCCTAGTTGGCTTGTGACTACATAGCAGCACAGCTGACATACACAGGGCTTATTTGTAGGGAGCAGCAGAAAACTGCAAGTATTTTACTTATGCTTTATTTTTCACTGCTCAGCACAGGCAGGCATGAGTTTGTATTAAGAATTTTGGATAGTATTATCAAAAAGGTAGCACTGTTTCAATAACACCAAAACTTCCTGAGGCAAGATTTTTTTCTAACTTATCAAACTCAAAAACCTCCATTTCCTGCTGAAAAAGTTACATTGAATCACTTTGTTTTTTACTCTATTTAGATAAAGCTAAACAGTATAGTAAGAAAAATACAAACGTATTTCAATGTATCTGGAACTGAGCACATCAGAATACTGTGCTAGAAAAGAAAAACCACTAACATTAGGCCTCCCACACTCCAGCTGTGGAAAAAAGCTGGAAGTTTCAGATGAGGATTGCCTCTCATAGGCCACCTTTCTCTCCACTCTTGTTTGATAGTTTAGATGAACAGTATTTACCTAATCTTACTCCTAGACCAAAAGCACTGATGCTGGTACATATCCAGCATTCTGCTAGCATAAACTTCCATGAAAAAGTACCCACTGCAGTATTTAAAGGATGAATATCTCCTAAAAGCAGGAACGAAAACCAACTTAGACATGAGACTTCTTGCTCAGAGTTTAAAATATTTATTTTTCTTTCTTATCCCCCAAATTTTGAGCAGTAGAAGATGTGCACTCTCATCACATTGCCTTGCCAGCCGAAAGGTGTTTCAGCTCAGGAATTCAAAGTGGAGCTGACAGGAGTTAATGCACAATATGGAAGTCCAGCTGCTAAGAAATAAGCAGCAATACCTGTGGGCCTACCTATAAACAGATATTCAATTTTGGTACTTACTGTTTGTTGTTGTTGTTGTTTTTAATTTTAGTTATGCTATTTTATAAGAACAGCATCTGAGCAGGCTGCTGGATATAAAATTGGCTATGCAAAAAAAAAAAAAAAAGCTAAAATTAATTCAATACATTCCTGCTCCCCAGAACAGTAAATATGTGACTAAGTACCTAGTCCTCCAGCATGTGCATCAATGAGAGATGCTGCTACTGCAATCCCTTCGGGGAGACCAAGTTCTTTTGCAGCTTCTGGCGTTAGACCTTTTCCAACAGGCTCTCCAGGAGACAAGACGTGGTTTCCTGGGCAGACACAAGAAAAACCATACACCTGTGAATTTACTAAACAGAAAAACAAACATGTGTGTTATTACAAGAACTCCCTTCCTCTCCCTGAAGTTAGTTGGTATACGTAACTCTAAAAAGTGCATCAAAGAACTCTATCTGATTAAGAAATATCTCTCATTGTGTACCTGTATGTTAAACACAACCACGCTACATCAGGCTGCTCCATAGTAATTTAAAAGTTCAAAAGCATTCAATGCCCTGTCTAGCCACAGAGAAAAATCTCACCACAAGCAATTAAATTCTGCTTGGCAGCTTTCCAAGAGATATGAAATACTCGTACAGAAATTCCAAGTTCCTGTGGTAGTTGCTGCATACAATGCCTGCAGCCATTCTCTGTGCAGGGAATGAGACTCAGCTCAGCCCATGCTCACCACTGAAAGCTGATCCTGGTAATAAAAAAAAAAAGACCTTCTCCCTTTCCACCTCCTCTTCCCTCCCCATCTCCATCCTTTCTAAGAGCTTCCACTAACAATAAGTTGGCTACAGTTACAGAAACTCTGAAAGAGAAACCAGCAAATTACTGCACTGTTGCAGCTTTACTTTCTCATAGGTTTAACCATCCATCTTTGAGTCCTCATTGGAGGTGTGAAGAATGTCATGGCCACCCTAAACACGACCAATGCAACTCTCCTCTCTCAGGCTTGTCACTAGGAGTGACAGATATCATCTCAGCATAGGTTTACACTATCATAATGCATATTTATTTTTTTCTAGCTGAAATGTAACATATTTCAATAGAGAACGTCACACATTTAGAGCATTTCAATGTGTATAAAGGGAGCAAAACACTGTCCACAATAGAGGTTAATTAAGAGGAGCAGCATGTTGCTATTTAGCAGGAATACGCAAATGCCTATGAGTATTACGTTCTAGAAACAGTTATGTTATATCATTGTTTAATGAAAAGGTTACAATATTAAATTCACAGTTGGAAAATGGGTTGTCTATATATCACAGTGGTAGCTGATCTTAGGCTTGGCTGCAGATGATACTGATTCTTCACTTTATGGAAGGCAGCCACATCCTGACCGAAGCAATGCATGGGGCACTTGGTGATTAGACAGCACACAAACTTCTTAGAGTTCATTTCTCCAAGAGTTTCTATTCTGTTGAAGCCACACCTCTGCCTCTGAAATATTAGATTGGATTTTACACTGGAAATTTGCAACAAATCTGTCACAGCCAAAACTCCTGGCTTGACTTCAGGTTTGTATTCAAACATTAGGAGCAGTAACCACAAGTCATCATTTCCAGCTCTCCACTAACTTATGCAGAAGAATGTGATAACATCTTCACATCTCCTCTCTCAAAAAAGTCTACATTTTATTAATTCTTATTCACTGTGCTAGCTTTTACAAGAGATGTATGTTTTGTGATTTTTTTTCCCCACATTAAGATTTGAGAGCAGGTTGCCTCTTTTCAATATAAGTTTTTTGTTGTCTTCTGATTTCTTAAGACATCAGAAAATAATACAAGCAAAACAGAAGTTGCATGCTTCACCTGACATTCAAAGACCATGCAGGTGGAAGGAAGTTCAAAAGAGTTCATGCAGCTAAAACCACATCTTTTTCTCCAGAATCAACTGCATGACATGAAAGCACACAGATATATTGTATATACAGCATGAGATGAAAATAATCTGAAACAAAACATCTTTCCAGGCACTCAATTTCACTGCTGGCTTATTGGGGCTTATTTGTATCAGTCATATTGGTTAAATATTTTCATGTTTAATTATTATATGGTTATGCTCCAATTTAGAAATCAGGGTTACTAAAAAATCTTTTCCTACCAGCTCCTCAATTACTGTATTTCTAGTTAACAAGCACTAATGGAACATCTCCAGGTATAAGGAGAATCCTCTCTTCTAATGGAACAGAAAATGACTCCATCAATTCTGTTGGTACAAGTGATGTACCAGAATGACCAGCAACAGTCCTCCACAGGATTCAAACGTGTGAGAGAGTGCCCAGGGATGGGTTTCCTGTGATTTGAAAACACAACATAACAACATTGTGTTTTAATGAATTCAAGGTAGAGTTCAGCCCGCCTCATTTATGAGTTAAGGTAAAAGCTGAACTATTATTCCTTGACTGAAAGCACCTCCAGACAACTTGGGAAGTGACAGCACCCAGAAATCCCTCTCACATGGAATGCAAAGGGGACTCTCCAGCAATCAGGGAAATCAGCAAACAGAATATCGACTCTGACCCTCTACTTCATCCTTTCAGTTTTAGCAATCAGTGTATGTTCTCCTACATACACACGATCTGTTCTTAAAGAGCTTTATAAAAGAGCAAAGCAGGCTCTGTGTGGCCACTGTCATCACAGGAGTTGCTTTCTTGCACCCACACAAGAGTGAGTAAATAGGTGTGGAATGGGCAGAGACCTAGGAAGGGAATTATTATTCCCATGCTTTAATCCTCACTGAAAAAGTAGAAAATTCAGCTAAGCACCGGTATACCTACAGTCTGTAGCTATAAAGCTATTAAAAGATAAGGTAAAAGATGTAAAAACACAAACAGAGGAGCCACGATTGAAAAGCAAAGTATTTGAAACAGATTGTACACCAGTACTTGGCTTGTAGAGAATGGAGATTCTTACTTGAGCAAAATGCAGTGGCTCTTGAAGTCAAGGGACAGCCACCACAAGAATAAAGGCATCGCACAGCTACTCACCAGCAATTCAACAGCAGGTGCTGCCACCCTTAAATCCTACCTGTCATGGAAAAGAAGCTGCCAGAGGGGGAGGAAGGGAAATGAGCCGCCCGCGTACACAGGCAGTCAGTGAGAGTATTACACAGGCTGTAAAAAAGAGGCAGTGAAAGGACCGAGTCTTCTCAAGCCTCCTGCCAAAGTAAATGTATCGAGTCCTTTGTTTACAGTAGTCTCCTGTGCAAGTCATTTACCTTTGCTATAACGATTTCCAAAATTAGACCTAGCCAAACAAACCCATAATAGCTGAAGCTGGAGAACTTTCTGTTTCACATTCGTACAGCTGTTTCACCAAGGCAATGCCTTAATCCACAACCTTTTCATTTCGTATGAGACATATTATTTCTAGCTATTTTTCCCCTATAAAGCAGCAAGTTTACAAAAGGAAAAAGCTGTCTGAATCTCTTCCTCCTCTTTAATCCTTTTTTGAAGACTAATGTTAGAATTTGCTATGATCAAGTTTTGTTTAAAGAATTTATGTGGTACCAATGACCCTCTACCTTTTAGGCAGTCACCACAGCAACCAGCTATTTACCAGACGTAACACACAAGGCAGACAATACATCTTCAGTCAATTTCAGTGATCAGAATTCACTCTACAGCCTTGCTAATATTTAACAGAACTAGTTTTTTTTGTACATAGACCTTTTTAAAATAACAAAAGCAGGGGGCCAGCTAATTCAGTCATGACATACTCATCCACTTGAGAACAGCTTTTCATCCATCATGCAGAACATGACTGCACTGCATATGCAATTAAATTTGGCTGCATAAGTGCATAAAAATACAGAAGAAAGAAAAGGGGTTGTTCCTTTTCTTCACTAACTTGACACAAACAAAGTTGAAGGGGTATAGCAATTCCTCAGAAAGAAAAATAAAGGATACATTCTGTCTCTGTTTCACAGACACTTCCCTAAAACAGATCATTTAAATACTTTTTAAATCACAGAATGGTTTAGGTTGGAAGGGACCCTAAGGACCACTACTCAGCTCCAGCCTCTTCCCATGGGCAGGGCTGCCACCCAGTAGATCAGGCTGTCCATGGTCCCAGCCTGCCTGGCTTTGGGCACCTCCAGGGATGGGGCACACACCACTTCTCCGGGCATCAGTAGAAATGTGCACTGCCCATCTGAGTAATCCAAGGAATGAAAAACACAGGTGTTCTTTAACTTCTCCTGAGCCACAGTATTAGAAGCTTTGTGGAGCATTTTCTCCAAAGATTTGCTAATACTTGGAATAGCCCATTTACACAGTGAATTCATTACAATGCTTGCAGGCAATTCCCAGTTCTTGTTTCATATAATAATCACTGAATTCTAGAATTCTGGGATATGCAAAGAATCTGAGTAACATAGTTCTACTGTTATGTCATCAAAACCCCATCTCACATAAAATAAGTTACCATTACATACAATAATCATGTTTTACTGATCAATGTACTTACTACAATTCTTAAATCTAACTGGAGAGCAGAAGAGGCTAACATTCAGAGAAGAATGTAGCAGGACAGTTATGTTAATGCAAAAATAGTATTCATTTTTCCTTAGAACTAAAGGTATGGTGGTTAAAAAAGGGTTATAAATGGTCAGATTTTTTACTTCTTAAATATGGAAATATCCTTGGTAAAATTGCTCAGTTGATAGTTGAAAACATGAGAATTTTCTTCCAGAAAAATCAAAACAAATTACTATAGGGCGGCTTATTTAAAAGTGAGAAAACCACTTGGTTAAACAAAAACACTTGGGCTTTCTTCAGTTCAAAATTCATCTCTGTCTATGTGAGCTGCCATAGCAGCTTTAGGCAAATCTCATTCGGGTTCTTTCCATCCCATCCTTCCATACAGCTTATGCTTCTGACTGCACTACATCTCAACTACCTGACACATAATTACTTAAGGCAGACCTGTTAGGTTGCTAAATACTGGCAAAAGCAACCTAAGTGCAGGCAGATCTGGATTCATTGAGCTGAAAAGTTGGTTTGCAGACCACAGGAGCCTACTTCAATAAATACTATTTCTTCTTGTCCAAATGAAAGAGAGCTACCTCATGGAGAAATGAAAAGCTTTCCTGGTTAGAGGTCAAGAGAAAAAACATTCTGCATCATTGGATCAGTAAGCATGTATGCTGATGGACATGACTGAGTTGTCATCTTCATATTTCAGTGAAATAGTGCAGAATGAATATGTTTTATAATGCATGGTTCACTGCTCATTAAGCTGACATGCATGTAGGTATACAGTAC